TCGTGACCAATAATAAACAGTGAATTCAATCAATCGGAATAATTTCGTATCGTCGTACCATCGGATGACGGATGCATGAAAATCTCCCCTAATGATTTGAAGTATTAATTTTGGTAGGTACCTACCTACTTTATTACTTACTACTAACTGAACGTACCATATATAATTAAACATTAAACTCATTCAACCACAACATAACACAAATATTTTACTAAGAAAAGGAAGGGGTCTAATACGGGCAAAACTCTCGACAAAAAAAGAAGTAAAACCTTGATTCCTAATTTACTGCTTAGCTACTTTTTAGATATTTGTATTTTTTATTAATTTCATTTATGTCGTTTCTTTTTAAATTAAAGACACCCGTACCCTCGCTTGTATCGGTTAGATCGAGTGGACCATAAAATATGTATTTTTTTTCAACATTGGCGATATCGTCTGGTTTGGGCCAAATAAAAGAACCCAAATGTCGTTTCAAAAATTTCATTTTGTATTTGAATTCTCCAACGGTATTTATTATTCTACCCACATACCAGTCTTCATCATACAACACAGCATAGTACTTTTCTTTTTCTATACAAGTCATAATGCCTGATTCATCGGCTATATTTTCTTCTAAGTTTTCTTCTGAAGAAAAATGTTCTGTGTCTGTAGAATCATCAAAAACAATCTCGTCATTTAACTCTTCTGAGCTAGACTCATAGTCGGAATGAACTTGCTTTCTCTTTATTTTTCTCTTAGATGTTTTTAAAGTTTTCTTTGAATTTTTCTTTAGTCGTTTTTTGTTTGTTGCTTCAATATTTGATTCTACATGTTTTCTTTTTCCTGAGATAAATCGATTGAGCCTATCTGTACTGATTCTTCCACTGCCTTCGTCGAGAAGCCAACAAAAAGAAGACTTTTTAATCACTGCAGATTTATCATTAGGTAAGGTCACTTTCAAATATGGGCAATTTTCTGTTAAAATTAGATTTTTACTTGAGTAATCTTTCAGATCGAAATCTATATTAAGCAAATCTTCAGTGCCAATAATACTTAAATCCGCCTCATTAGCTAAAACTGTATTAAAAATGGTATCTTCAGAAGCAGTGTCGTATGTCTCAATAAGGTCTTGGCTCGGGTCATGCAATTGAACATCATTTTCATTCTCATTATTTGACTGTGTTGGAAGTTTGATATCTAATTCATTAGCAACTTTCCTGTCTTGATTAAAGCTAAAGAGTTCCAGGTCTTTGTAGGCATCATCCATTGCCCTATTAACAATTAGGTCAATATCGATGTTAATAATTTCTTCCCGAGATGGGTATTCAACTTTTGTTTTAGTAGACCTATTTTCTCTAGGAAATATGTATTGCTCTCTAAGGTCACTCAAAACAAAATTAATGTATGAAATTCGATCAATTTTATTCATAAAATCTTTGATGCTAAAGTTTATCATCGTTGAAAAAGTGGACGTCATAGATCTAGCAGCTCTAAATAAGCTCTCACATGGCTGACTACTAAAAACCCATGGCAAAAACATGGTATTATTCAAACAATCATCAGATTGAAAGAGTTTTATTAATTTTATTAATGTATGACCATTAAGCTCGATGCACGTGTATGCGTTCAAAGTTATAAAGTTATTTTGCAGCGTAAAATCGCTTTGCGTTTTTATCCAGTTTCTCCAATAGCGGAGAACAAATATACAATACCAGATTTTATAGACTCTGTCACATAACTTTTCGTCTTTTTTGATAAGGGATGAAATAATATAATTCATGACTTTCAAATATATTATGGTAGCATTACTTCCTGGAATATTTTGTAACAGTTGAAGCACTCGATCGTCACAAATCTTTTCTGCACTTCTATAATTCATTTTATCTTCAGAGTTCAGATCAGACTTACTTAGGAGATGTTTATCTTTACCATTGTCGCTTAAAAGAGTTTCTAAGTGCTTGACACTTGCAGTAAATTCTCCCATTGGTAAATTAATTCCTGTTTTTAAAAAACGAGTTTTCAATTTAGTGATAATATGTACAGGATCCTGCATAAAACAAATCTCTCGATGATCGTCATTTAGATTCAAGTGGTACCATTCTTTGGTTTCTCCAGGGGTTTCCTCAGTCTCAGTTACAAATGGTGTTTCTATTTTCATAGCCTTTAAAAGTCGAGTATCGCCATCTGACGAAATTCCTAAAACTTTTATTCCCTGTCTAGATAATTCTGACTTAGTATATCGCCATCTAGAAAGTACGTCTTGAGCCGTAAATCTATTATCTGTGCCAAAAAATGACAAGCAAAAGGCAGGAGCACAAGCATCTAATGGTTGTGCCATTATAACATAACCATAGTCCGCCTTTCTGTTATTAGCAAAATATGACTGTATGTCTATAGCAGATTTAGCAATAAAGGCTTCTGAATCCGGAATACCATCTTTAAGAGGCAGGGGAAAACCCATAATTTTGTTAGTGCAAGGATTGTACTCCACTTTCGAATTAATTCTCGTTCCATCCTCGGACAACCAGACAATCTTAGGTAAATTTCTTTGGTCAAGATAGTTTTTTAGCCCTTCAGAATTAAATTGCCCTTCTTCGAGTATTAATTTAGTTCTGGATTTGAAACGCGCGAGAGTAGATAATGATGGTAAAATTCCATTAAGGTTGGCATGTAATGTTTCATAGCATAATTTTCCAGCGCAATAAAATAAGTACAAGCAAAATTTTTTCAAATCATCATTGTACGTATTTTTGTAGCTAGAAACTTTATTCGAAGTGGCGGCCTTCAAAAGAGTATTAAGAAAACAATTCGCTCTACCCGAGTTTGCAAAAGATTCTTCGTCATTGTTTCTGAAATGATTAACTCCTTGTTGGAATATCTGCGATATATCTTCATTTTGATTAATAACGTGACCTATTTTCTCCAAGACCGAAATAAAGTTTGTCATTACGGTTTGATTACTTTGCAGTTTCTCTCTCTTTCTCCTATCTCTTTGAGAGCGGCTGTATTTCGGTGTAGTCCAAATCGAGCTACTCGTTGGTTTGATAAGATCAAGGCTGGTGCTGCAAATTCCTGTCTCTTTGGGATGAGTGGGTCGAGTTGTAGAAGAACTCTGAGAAGAACATATTATTTTGAGCGATTTTTCTTTTTTGTCAGATATTTTCTCCAATGTTGTTTCTTCTTCCGGGTCCATTATCAGGTCTATTTGAGATATTGGTGAATTATTAGGAATAATATTTTCCTGATCTTCGCTGCCAAATTCAGGTTGTTTACCGAGGTGAAAGGTAACACAATCAATAATTTTTACCTTATTTTTATTCTCCATTACTTTTTCAGGAATGCAATCCTTTGAAATTTCCTCGCTTCTTTTTTTCTCTTGTTCTTGGGTCGAGGCTTGTTCACTCGCTTCTTCAGGGAATTTATTAAAATATTTGGTGATTTTGTTTGAATAATATCTTGTTTTCGCTTTTTCGTGGCCTTTTTCTATTGGTCTGTCAAGGGTGTTCTTGAGAGGGATTTCCTCAGTGACTTCAGATGCGGATGTGCCAGAAAAATTGAAATGTTTTAAAAAATGAGTCTGGAAATTTGAACAAACCCATCGAGGTTTTCTTACTTTTGATTTTGTCGAGGATTTTGCCACTTTATTTATTTTAATTTGCGATTTACAAAAACAGGTGACTCTACAAACTAAATCATCAACATTATCACAAGTTGTATTAAAAGTCGTGTTGAAGAAAATGTTATTAAATTTAGTGTCGCAGTCTAATTTATTCCACTGTTGATCACTAAATTTTGATCTAGCCCATCTTTTTAGAATTCTAGAAACTAAAGCATTTTCCTCCGTAAAATTGGTATTTAGAATTTTTCTCGGATTTTTTGTAGCAGAGACGCTCGAAGAAAAACCACTTGTTGATTCTGGAGGTTCTTCACTTGGGTCTCCTTCGTCTTGAATATTCAAGCCCAGATTCAAGTCATCTGTCATAGTTGATTTATCGATTTTTCGATTGTCCATTTCATCTTTGAAAAAACCCTTGATGAGAAAAATAAGATTTCGGTGGCCAGGAACGAGGAAGAATTTTTCTGGTTGTTGGTAATACAAAGGACCATAAAAATTTTTAAGATCGTCTTTAGAAATCATCTTATGTAGATCAGTTCGGGCAAATTTTTCTATCGCTTCTATGTCCTGGTTTGATATGCTTCTAAGTATAGCTGGATTATCATAGCCATTGATGATTAATAAATTTTTAAGAGGTACAGGAATTTTAGTTTTCATTCCTTGTTCGATTTGGAAAAATATATCTAAGCTTGTACAAGAGCTTATATTTTCGCTTGTATTGGTGCAAGTCTCGGAATAAAATCTCAGAGTCACTTCATTATCATCTCGACTTGCATCTCGATTATCAAATTGTGACTGATGCTCAGGTCGATTTGGAGCTGAATTTGAATACATCTGGAAAGAAAATTCACATGACAAAAAGGAAATAAACTTTTAGCTAAATCGAACCTATATGAATTTATTATACATTATACAATTTATATGATATAACAGATTGTCGCGAGATTTACCTGTGTACTGTGTAAATTCTTAGAATTACATCTGTCAAGATCGAGTATTGTATTCTTGTTTATTTACAGAGGTGAACCCCGCGACAAGCTTTTATATCATATGTATGTATTGTATAATGTAATAAATTCATTAGTTTGATTTAGTTTAAATTTGTTTTTCCTTTAGTTCAGGCTAGTATCATGAGGCAAGTTTGTGTGGCACTTCAAGTGGTTGTGAATTCAGTTTTAGGATTTGACCTAATAAACACATGGCAAGTTGAAAACTTCACCTCTATCTTCATTTTCACCTTCACCTTCACTTTCACTCGACCTTCACCTTCACCTTCACCTTCACCTTCACCTTCACCTTCACCTTCACCTTCACCTTCACCTTCACCTTCACCTTCACCTTCACCTCCACCTTCACCTTCACCTTCACATTCACCTCCACCTCCACCTCCACCTCCACCTCCACCTCCACCTCCACCTCCACCTCCACCTCCACCTCCACCTCCACCTCCACCTCCACCTCCACCTCCTCCTCCACCTCCACCTCCACCTCCACCTCCACCTCCACCTCCACCTCCACCTCCACCTCCACCTCCACCTCCACCTCCACCTCCACCTCCACCTCCACCTCCACCTTCACCTCCACCTCCACCTGCACCTTCACCTTCACCTTCACCTGCACCTTCACCTTCACCTCCACCTTCACCTTCACCTTCACCTTCACCTTCACCTTCACCTTCACCTTCACCTTCACCTTCACCTTCACCTTCACCTCCACCTTCACCTTCACCTTCACCTTCACCTTCACCTTCAAGCGATTTGGTTTCGTCCAAGGTTCCATCACTTTTTTGATATAGCGTGAAGCCGCCGTTGCGTTGTCTCATTCAAACAAATTTTTCGTACGACAGAGCTTTCATTATTTATAATATCAAAACGTCTTTTTAAAAACTGTTTTTGGCTCGCAAATCAAGCTTTTTTGTATGTGGCCAATTTTCACCCCGTTCTCCTGGACCGATTTTTCAAACAAACAATAACAGAGCAGAAATCTTTCACATTCTAATAAAGCCTAATAAAATCGAATAAAACTGTACTTTATATAAATATAATGAAATATCTACTTACCTTTGTTAAATCCTAATTTCTCAGGCACTACACACTACACTATCTCCGCGGTGCCTTTGCGCCCTTTCCACGCCAACCTGTCGTGCTCAAATGTCTCCAGCTGTTATTCCAAGGCCATAACGCGGTAAAAATCTGTTGCACCGGTCATGCGCAACCGCCATTAAATTTAAAAATTTGGCGGGAAACCGTTATTTTTAATTGGAATATAGACTTAAATACCCAAAAATACCTAAAAATGCCTGAGCAATTCCTAAAAATGCCCGAAAAATACCCAAAAATACCCAAAAATGCCCGAAAATACCCAAAAGTACCAAAAAAATTCCAAAAATACCCGAAAATACCGAAAAATACCCACAGCTTGTACAATAAAATACCCCAGTGGTTTACCCCTCGCTTCCTACTAAAATGATGAAATTTCAATTTTTTTTTTTTCGAGATTTTGTGTCCTACTGGTCCCTCGTGACACCCTGAACTCCATACAGAAAATTATTCTCAGATTTGATGCCGAAATCTATGAAAAAAGGCACTCAGAAAAATAGAAAAATTGATAAATTACCCCAAATTGCTTAACACGATTTTATCTCAGGAACTATAAGTGCAAATGAGCTGAAATTTTCAGGGATTGTAGTCCTTCGAAAGGGATGAAATTCAGTGAAAGATTGAGCTTCCTATCTATAATAGAAAAAAAGTTACGACCTTTGAAAGTTTTCCGAAAAAAATCATAAGGGGGGTACCTTCCTACTAAAATGATGAAATTTCAATTTTTTTTTTTCGAGATTTTGTGTCCTACTGGTCCCTCTTGATACCCTGAACTCCATACAGAAAATTATTCTCAGATTTGAAGCCGAAATCTATGAAAAAAAGCACTCAGAAAAATAGAAAAATTGATAAATTACCCCAAATTGCTTAACACGATTTTATCTCAGGAACTATAAGTGCAAATGAGCTGAAATTTTCAGGGATTGTAGTCCTTCGAAAGGGATGAAATTCAGTGAAAGATTGAGCTTCCTATCTATAATAGAAAAATAGTTACGACCTTTGAAAGTTTTCCGAAAAAATCATAAGGGGGGTACCTTCCTACTAAAATGATGAAATTTCAATTTTTTTTTTTTCGAGATTTTGTGTCCTACTGGTCCCTCTTGATACCCTGAACTCCATACAGAAAATTATTCTCAGATTTGAAGCCGAAATCTATGAAAAAAGGCACTCAGAAAAATAGAAAAATTGATAAATTACCCCAAATTGCTTAACACGATTTTATCTCAGGAACTATAAGTGCAAATGAGCTGAAATTTTCAGGGATTGTAGTCCTTCGAAAGGGATGAAATTCAGTGAAAGATTGAGCTTCCTATCTATAATAGAAAAAAAGTTACGACCTTTGAAAGTTTTCCGAAAAAATCATAAGGGGGGTACCTTCCTACTAAAATGATGAAATTTCAATTTTTTTTTTGTCAAGATTTTGTATCCTACGGGTCCCTCGTGACACCCTGAACTCCATACAGAAAATTATTCTCAGATTTGATGCCGAAATCTATGAAAAAAGGCACTCAGAAAAATTGAAAAATTGATAAATTACCCCAAATTGCTTAACACGATTTTATCTCAGGAACTATAAGTGCAAATGAGCTGAAATTTTCAGGGATTGTAGTCCTTCGAAAGGGATGAAATTCAGTGAAAGATTGAGCTTCCTATCTGTAATAGAAAAAAAGTTACGACCTTTGAAAGTTTTCCGAAAAAATCATAAGGGGGGTACCTTCCTACTAAAATGATGAAATTTCAATTTTTTTTTTTTCGAGATTTTGTGTCCTACTGGTCCCTCTTGATACCCTGAACTCCATACAGAAAATTATTCTCAGATTTGAAGCCGAAATCTATGAAAAAAGGCACTCAGAAAAATAGAAAAATTGATAAATTACCCCAAATTGCTTAACACGATTTTATCTCAGGAACTATAAGTGCAAATGAGCTGAAATTTTCAGGGATTGTAGTCCTTCGAAAGGGATGAAATTCAGTGAAAGATTGAGCTTCCTATCTATAATAGAAAAAAAGTTACGACCTTTGAAAGTTTTCCGAAAAAATCATAAGGGGGGTACCTTCCTACTAAAATGATGAAATTTCAATTTTTTTTTTGTCAAGATTTTGTATCCTACGGGTCCCTCGTGACACCCTGAACTCCATACAGAAAATTATTCTCAGATTTGATGCCGAAATCTATGAAAAAAGGCACTCAGAAAAATTGAAAAATTGATAAATTACCCCAAATTGCTTAACACGATTTTATCTCAGGAACTATAAGTGCAAATGAGCTGAAATTTTCAGGGATTGTAGTCCTTCGAAAGGGATGAAATTCAGTGAAAGATTGAGCTTCCTATCTGTAATAGAAAAAAAAGTTACGACCTTTGAAAGTTTTCCGAAAAAATCATAAGGGGGGTACCTTCCTACTAAAATGATGAAATTTCAATTTTTTTTTTTTCGAGATTTTGTGTCCTACTGGTCCCTCTTGATACCCTGAACTCCATACAGAAAATTATTCTCAGATTTGAAGCCGAAATCTATGAAAAAAGGCACTCAGAAAAATAGAAAAATTGATAAATTACCCCAAATTGCTTAACACGATTTTATCTCAGGAACTATAAGTGCAAATGAGCTGAAATTTTCAGGGATTGTAGTCCTTCGAAAGGGATGAAATTCAGTGAAAGATTGAGCTTCCTATCTATAATAGAAAAAAAGTTACGACCTTTGAAAGTTTTCCGAAAAAATCATAAGGGGGTACCTTCCTACTAAAATGATGAACTTTCAATTTTTTTTTTTTCGAGATTTTGTGTCCTACTGGTCCCTCTTGATACCCTGAACTCCATACAGAAAATTATTCTCAGATTTGAAGCCGAAATCTATGAAAAAAAGCACTCAGAAAAATAGAAAAATTGATAAATTACCCCAAATTGCTTAACACGATTTTATCTCAGGAACTATAAGTGCAAATGAGCTGAAATTTTCAGGGATTGTAGTCCTTCGAAAGGGATGAAATTCAGTGAAAGATTGAGCTTCCTATCTATAATAGAAAAATAGTTACGACCTTTGAAAGTTTTCCGAAAAAATCATAAGGGGGGTACCTTCCTACTAAAATGATGAAATTTCAATTTTTTTTTTTTCGAGATTTTGTGTCCTACTGGTCCCTCTTGATACCCTGAACTCCATACAGAAAATTATTCTCAGATTTGAAGCCGAAATCTATGAAAAAAGGCACTCAGAAAAATAGAAAAATTGATAAATTACCCCAAATTGCTTAACACGATTTTATCTCAGGAACTATAAGTGCAAATGAGCTGAAATTTTCAGGGATTGTAGTCCTTCGAAAGGGATGAAATTCAGTGAAAGATTGAGCTTCCTATCTGTAATAGAAAAAAAGTTACGACCTTTGAAAGTTTTCCGAAAAAATCATAAGGGGGGTACCTTCCTACTAAAATGATGAAATTTCAATTTTTTTTTTTTCGAGATTTTGTGTCCTACTGGTCCCTCTTGATACCCTGAACTCCATACAGAAAATTATTCTCAGATTTGAAGCCGAAATCTATGAAAAAAGGCACTCAGAAAAATAGAAAAATTGATAAATTACCCCAAATTGCTTAACACGATTTTATCTCAGGAACTATAAGTGCAAATGAGCTGAAATTTTCAGGGATTGTAGTCCTTCGAAAGGGATGAAATTCAGTGAAAGATTGAGCTTCCTATCTGTAATAGAAAAAAAGTTACGACCTTTGAAAGTTTTCCGAAAAAATCATAAGGGGGGTACCTTCCTACTAAAATGATGAAATTTCAATTTTTTTTTTTTCGAGATTTTGTGTCCTACTGGTCCCTCTTGATACCCTGAACTCCATACAGAAAATTATTCTCAGATTTGAAGCCGAAATCTATGAAAAAAGGCACTCAGAAAAATAGAAAAATTGATAAATTACCCCAAATTGCTTAACACGATTTTATCTCAGGAACTATAAGTGCAAATGAGCTGAAATTTTCAGGGATTGTAGTCCTTCGAAAGGGATGAAATTCAGTGAAAGATTGAGCTTCCTATCTGTAATAGAAAAAAAGTTACGACCTTTGAAAGTTTTCCGAAAAAATCATAAGGGGGGTACCTTCCTACTAAAATGATGAAATTTCAATTTTTTTTTTTTTCGAGATTTTGTGTCCTACTGGTCCCTCTTGATACCCTGAACTCCATACAGAAAATTATTCTCAGATTTGAAGCCGAAATCTATGAAAAAAGGCACTCAGAAAAATAGAAAAATTGATAAATTACCCCAAATTGCTTAACACGATTTTATCTCAGGAACTATAAGTGCAAATGAGCTGAAATTTTCAGGGATTGTAGTCCTTCGAAAGGGATGAAATTCAGTGAAAGATTGAGCTTCCTATCTGTAATAGAAAAAAAGTTACGACCTTTGAAAGTTTTCCGAAAAAATCATAAGGGGGGGTACCTTCCTACTAAAATGATGAAATTTCAATTTTTTTTTTTTCGAGATTTTGTGTCCTACTGGTCCCTCTTGATACCCTGAACTCCATACAGAAAATTATTCTCAGATTTGAAGCCGAAATCTATGAAAAAAGGCACTCAGAAAAATAGAAAAATTGATAAATTACCCCAAATTGCTTAACACGATTTTATCTCAGGAACTATAAGTGCAAATGAGCTGAAATTTTCAGGGATTGTAGTCCTTCGAAAGGGATGAAATTCAGTGAAAGATTGAGCTTCCTATCTGTAATA